GTGACTTTAAAACCTTTGTAAAATCTACAGAAGATGTAAAAAACCTTTGTAAAATCTACAGAGTTACCACATGTCCTGTCCCTTGCAGTCCTGTTGTGAAATGTGTTTCTTCAACTTTGCTTGTTCCAAATGTGCTGGAACTTTATTGCATCAGTATGAGAATAAAGAAAGAAAAACCCACATGTTTTAGTCAGATGGGTAAAAATAGGGAGGAAAGTTTTCTTGGTTGACAATTTGTCATTTTGCATGTTGTGCAAAAAAAAAAGGATATATATGATTCCTTCATAAAAAATTCACTAAAACAGGAAATGTGTGCATATTTTCTGCCAAAAATGTGGAAAATTGACTATCTTAAGGCTAAATCAAAGGATTTTAATGAGATGTTTGAAGAAGGAGAAGTAAAGTAACTTGTTTCTACTTGAAAAGAGCAACACCTTTTGGAAAAATGTTAATTAACACAATATTGACTTGAGATGTAATACAGAGAGTAGGGGGGCCCAAACTTTAAAAATGTCCTTGTTATCATGATAACCTACTTAAATCAAAGTTTATCCTTTGATACATCTAATACATCTATGGATGTAGCTGTCTCTAGTTACACTGGAGCAAAACTGCATTGAAGACCATGTTAGTCCAGGCTCAGGCTGCTCAAATACACACTCTGGCTGCAATCTGTAGCTTTGGTTCTTACATGCTGGATGTCATGGGGAGCTGCATGGAAGGGCAGAGTCAGGACAGGTAGATGGAGTCACACTGTTGAGCAAGATGAAAGGAACTGGTAGGCATAAGGACTAGGAGATGTGACCACAAACATAACTGCGAGGAGCCTGGAAGGTAAAGTCAAGGAGCTTCCCCTCAATGTAGAAGCAGAAAGGGAGCCAGCAAAGGCATCAGAGGAATAAAGTGATGTAGGCAGAATGATGGATGAGGATTTGGATTGCAGCTTTTTCAGATGGCTGCTGAGAAGGAAGTCAGTAGCTGGAAGCCCTAGAGTGAGTGCCTGGCATTTGGCTCCAGAGACTTGTATCAGTAAGAAAACTGCACAGGGTGGTTAGGGCTGATGTTGAGGTTAAAAAAAACCCTAAAATTTCCAGCGAGTTAGAATTAATCGGAGTCTGATTGTGCAATGAAGGTGGGAAGTGAGTGACGATTGCCGGACTTGTACCCAACTGAATAGAAGCCCTGGGGTGTGGGAGCTTTTAAATATTGTTTTTCTCCTTGTGCATATACTCAGCAACATTTCTGAGAGAGTTGCACTAATTAATTCTTCTCTCCACCCCCACCCTCTGAGGTCTGAGCTGAGTACAGAGGCACCTCTCAGAATGGGATATATGGGACACGAGGTCCTTTCTACCCAGGCCAGGCAGCAGCTGCTCCGAGATTTGAAGCAGATGTTTGGGCCTGAATCTTAGTCATTCAGTGTGATTTGTGTTAGTAGCTAACAGAGGCCAACTTATTTATCTGGGAAACTCCTGGTGAGGTAGAGACACTTAGTGTAGATGGGTTCCTGTTTAGCAACCCACAGCAATGGCATGCTGGAATAATCCTTCTATGTAAATGTTTCTTTTCTTTATTCTTTCAAGTGCTTGCTGACCTCATTTCTATAGTATTTCACAGGGTACATCTGGTTTTGGTTGCTTCATGACTCAGTGTTCCAGTTTGAAAATGCAGTGTTGTGATTTAAAACATCGTGTCAGGACAGTGATGTACAACTGCCCATGACCTAAATGTTGTTGCTTTTGCTCTTGGGCACCAGCCCTGCCATGGCACAGGCACCGAGGACCTCGCAGCAGGGCCAGGCTGAGCGCAGAGCCACTGCTGGCTTTTCCATCCCCTCCAGCCCGTGCTTGCTTTGTGCCCAAACATGCTTCTCCCCAGCGTCAGATATTCCTACCTGGCTATAACATTTGCTTCCGGCTAGAATTCCTTGAGCCGTGAGTTCTGTTTTACACATTTTACCCTTTTCCTTTACTCTAGTCCACTTTGTGATTTTGGGGTGCTGTGGGTAGATGCACTGTTTCATTCACTTCAAGGCAATTTGTGCAGGTTAATTTTCATTATGGAGTATGAGCTGCAGAGAGAATTGTTTTCTCTGATGCTTTCTCAGATTTTGTACTCTTCTGTTGAGTGTGAGTTTACATACACTGCCCAGAGACTTTTTCTCAAGCAGATGCATTTTGGTGTTTATCCAGGTTGTGGCATCTGTCTTGGTGGTGCTAAAAATATTCAAGTAACTCTCTTGCAGTTTTTCTGACAGAAGAGTTAATGATGATAAGATGAATGAGAGAGTATCTTCTTTTTCCCCCACATTTTTTTCCTGTGAAAGCCCACACCTTTTGCAGATACATGGCTGTCTATCAAAGATAATACATGTCATAATCTTACACACAGAGGGGAACACATTTGAATGGGAGCTCAGGAATTCTGCTTAAATGTGTCACTAAATGTTCAAACGATACTCTCATCAGTTTCTGGATGGATTGTCAATTTATGTGCTGTCTAACAGGTATATTATGGTTCAACAGCATGAAAACACTTTTTAGGTTGTGTTAATTTATAGTAATTTGGTTTAAGGCAGAAACACTTAATGGAAATTTGCTTGCATTAAGTTACTACTTTAACTTAAATAACTAGGAGCTAGAGAAGGAATGAAACTAGACTAGAATATAAAACATATTTGCTTAAGACCCATGTAATGATTAAAAGTGAGAAAATAAGGAAGCTAGCATCATGAATATTAATGTTTCACTCTGCTGTTTTACACTTTGTCTTCCACTGTTTTCCTCTGAGTTACTTGATAGCGCATTTTACATCAATAAATGTATGCTCATTTTTAAGTGATGTCTTTTGAAAAAACACAAAAATTAATGACTTGTGAGCTTGGTAGAGGATGAGACAAATGACATCATTTTAACAGGCAATATTTGATACCCAGATGCAGCACTTGCTTTGCTAAAATTTTAGGAGATGAAGGCTACCACCTAGATAGTATTATCATCAGAGATACACTACAAGTAAGAGCATACCTACTCATTGCATATTTGCTGACCAGGTTAATAGAATTTTTTTTGTTTTTTTCAAAGGGAGCAGGACTCCTTCTTTTAGTTAAAAAAAACCCAAACAAACCAATCAAAACAAAAATAACAAAAAAACCCACAAACAAACAAAACCCCAAACCAAACCGAAAACCCAATCAAAAGAGTTATTGAATATTTAGCATTGTGGGAGAGCAGAATCACTTCTATATATGAAAGCAGTCAGAGGTGTGCTCTCCGAGCTTCGTGGAAAATGATGACAAGGGACAATTTGATCAAACAAAAGTATACTAATCTTTAGATGGCCCTGGAAAGACCATCATCTTGCAAAAATATGATAAGTCATGCCAACATTTTATTTTGTCTTCTTTTAATTCTCTGTCGATTTCTTCCATAATTTTTAAGGTAATGATTGGTATTATTTAGCACATGCCCTGAAAAAGAGACATTTTTAACTAGAACAAAAATAGGTTTTTGTGATTTGCTACCTGGAAAGCTAAATCCAGAATGTCAGCTTTTAAAAAAGCATTGTGCTGTGTAGTATCCCAGCATTCCAGGCCAGATTGCCATCGTTTCTCAGAGCCATTTGTCCTGTGACTTCTAACTGTACTTGAGGGGACCTGTTCATAAACAGACAGTATTTTCGGGGTTTTTGGGCTATCTATCCAGTAGTGTTTGTGAACTCTAATATTTAACAAGCTGTTGCAGAAATTGATACTGGAAAATTCTGAAGATATGCTTTTGTGGCTTAGTTACTTTGATATAACTAATCTCAAAGAATAACATTTGGGCATGTGGAAGGCAAAGAACCTCTGTCAGCTTTTTCAACAAAAGGAGGTGAACTGCTTTATCTTGATCACATTCCTTAACAATAAAGCTAATGAATGCAACCAGACATTTTTTTCACAGGTTATTTATTACCTTATTCTTGTCTTGTACAAAAAAGCTCTGAGCTGTCAACTTCCAGCTCACAGACTGATGCTGAGGATGCTGACTCTGTGTTCCTGGTGTGTGTCTGAAGGTAAAGTTGAACTGGCCAGGAGTGCAGCATGCCAACTTTTTAGGTCCATATTCTTCTTTGTCACCACAGCTGTTTATCAGTGGCAGATAATGTTTGTAGAGAATTTAGGGAGCAATGTTATAATGTAAGGTCAGTGATGTTATGGTGATGCTAAAGCCTCTGGAATGAATGAGAGCAGGTAGGACATGAGGATAGCTGGCATTGCTTATGGTTTAACTGGGGTGGGGAGCTGAAGCTGGAAGGGTCTGCTATTAAGAGAGTAAGAATGTTCTTCAGGGTCTTTGTAAGTGGGATTAGCTCCAAATCCCACTGATGCCCTTCATTACTACTTCAGCACCGTTGGAGAAATGTTTTTTGGCTCTGAGATAAGTTCATCTGCATATCTATGGCATCTGCTTCTGTGTTGTTCTAGATGTGCTGGGGCTGACAATATTTCATTAATTTTGGGACTGAAGGATTAGGCAGCTCATCGGAATCTCATATCTGCTTTTCTTGGGTGACCTCTGGCATATGAAAGTTTTCTGTTTGTTGGTGGAACCAAGCGATAACATTCCTCTGTAGGTAGTGAGGGGCTTATTTCTCCTTTATCATTTCCATTTGGAATTTTTTTAACTTGCTTGATTGACAGAATCTTGAAATGTTAAATATCAATCTATTTTGTAAAATTATTTGAACATGAACATTTCTTCTTCTTTCCCCTCTATGGCCAATTCATCTTCATTAAATTTTTGTCCAAAAGTATGTCCACAGCACTGTAAAATAGTATCAAATGCATTGACTACCACGAGTAAAGTGATTGACTTCTTTCCTGGAAAACAGCTCCTGTGCTCTCATTACTGTTTTAAATTAATTCTGGCAATACTAAGTACATATTGTTAACACCTCAACACTTAGTATATAGTATATTTGTCATTAATTTTGGTTATTTTTTTTGTTTTAAACAGGATTTATCTGGGGAAGGCTACAGAGACACTATTGGTGATGAACACTTCCACCTAGAAGGTATTTAAAGAACAAAATTTTTTGGTTAATATTAAGGTAATTTGGAGTAAGTTAGTGAACAAATCAGTGTGAGAATGCCTATATTGAGAATGCAATTCTTAAACTACTGATGTGTTTTTTGCTTGAAAAAACTGTTAGGATGGAAATAGGGTGTTATTTCTCTATCTGCTACCATTGGTATTGAAAAAGGTCACCCACTTGTATCACAGGGACCAAGTGTTTTAATTCAAGGTCTCACAATTTTTTCTAGGTACTGCTGTTGACACTGATAGCAGTTGTGAATAGCTGTCCTGAGCAGAAGTGGCAAATGCAGTCACTGACAATGTCAGCACTGGGTTATGTGATGTGCTGCACTCCCTTCTGTGTTACACAGACCAGCCTTAGAAACTCCTACATTAATTTCTAATAAAGACTAGAGACTCTTACTCAAAACATTTTTCTTGAATGTGAATGGAATTGTTACTGCCTTGGACACCTCTTTCCATCTCATCTCCTCATCTGTGAGGCAACTGAGGTGGAATCACTGTTGTGGTGGGAATGGCCTTTGGGGACCTTGAGTATGGATGCTATATCCTGCATACCAGGGAACACATCTGAGGTACCTTGAATTTCAGTTGGGCAAGTGGGAGTTGATGAATGGAGGACAATAATTAGCTGCTCATTCCTTTCAAGGAAAACAGACTTCAGACACTGTCTAGTATTACAAGTGATTCCATGAGCTGTGTGCTAGATTTATATTATAGGGTAGTGGAAACAATATGCCAAATTTAGTTAGAGCAATGAACCATGTCAAGCTTAACCTGGAAATTTCTGTCCTTTTATAATCCAGGCATTTGTTTCTGGTATTAGAGGCTTCTGTCTAAACTGAACTTAAAAGATTCTTTATGTTAATAATGTCTACCTTCCAGTTCCTTACCTGTGAAATGTGTTAATATACCATGTTTCTTGGGTTCCACGTTTCTATCAACTCTGTAGTTAACAGAGAATGTTCCCTTGCATGTGCTGTAACACAGGAGCTCAATTTCAGCTGGTCCTTGTAGGCTACTCTTAATCACAATAGCAAAGTCTGCTTGCCATGATGGGGGTTTTTTTAGCGTTTCTGTTTCAGTTTTCATATCTGCCCACAGTGGGTCATAATGATAATAAGGGGTAGGTTTTAATTTTAGAATTATAGGAGAAACTACTTCACACAGGATATTAAATGTCAGCAAGGTGAATAATTTTATTTTCTTTGTCTCATTCTGTCTTTCCTTGCCTCTAATTATTTCTTTCTTTGTTGTGTAGAATCGTCTTGCATAGCAAACATAATATTCAATATATAATATTTCCAATTTAGTCAGCAGCAGGATTTTTTTTATTAGGGTGTAAAACCTTTTAGGTTGCTGCAGTTTCAGTCTTTCAGCAGTTTCATGTTATTACTTCTGATGCATCTCATTTGTTATGAAGTATCTGAGTAGTGAAGACCAGATTTAGATACCAGCTGGTGGTCCATGCTTTGTGTGCTGTCACTGGGGAAGAGCTGTTCTGTGGCATCTTTCCATTTGGGAGGAAGATGACTGTTCCCACCCAGGGCTCAGGCAAATGCATGCAGATTGTCAAGGCTTGGTCCTCATCCCTCTGCTCTCAGATCTCCAGGCTATGCTTGCCATCCTGGGGACAGTGTTGGTCACTTCCTATTTGAACGGGATATTGAAACTCCTATAATTTGTCAGACAATACTACAAGCATTGTGTTAAAGCACCCTTATTATATCAGCTCGTAGTTTTTACTGGCATCATATTTTTAATGACTGTGCTTTGTACTGGCATAAAATTGTGATATTAGCATAAATTGAAGCTGAAGCTTGATTTGACATCTGTGTTTGGGCACAGCTTGAATTCTGTGTGATTTAGGTACAAGATGACCACTGCCATTCCTCTTCTCTGTGTAGAAATGTTTCTGTGGGAAAAAGTAATTAATATTCTGGAACATTTCCATCTAAAATAGTTGTTATGCCTTTATTTTGCTGCCTCATTATCTTTACATATGTGCTGGTGTAATATGTGTGCTGGATGATTATATGTTCATGTGTCATAGGAACATCAAAATCACTGATGGCTGGTTTCAGAGACAAGGAACTGTAACCCGGGAAATGGTTGGTTGGACTAAGCTCACAGAGGACATGAATGGCAAAACAAAGACTTAAACCCAGGTCTATCAAATACCATGCATCAAAGAGCTATATTCTGCCTTCATAAATACATGGTGGGGATGCAAAAAAAAAAAAAGAAAAAGAAACATTTCTCAGATTTGCAAAAAGCCACAGCAGGTGCCACAGTTCTGGTTTGGGGGAAAGTTATAGCCTTTGCACTCAGAAACTTTACTGGAGAATAAATCTGAATTCTTTAGAAGACTCTCACTGAAAAGACAAAGTGGCAATAAGAGAAATAATTGAATTCCTTATTTTGTTTTACATAGCCAAGTTCATTACCTTTTTTTTTTCTTCTCTCTCTTTTTTCCCCCTCTTAGCTGTCTGAGCAGTACAGATAAAAAGAACTCTCTTTGCTGGATTTAACTTCTGTGTTGTTATGTAAAGCTTGATCAAATCCTTTCGTCTTAACAGACTTAACTGGCCAACAGCAAAAGGCTCGGGATTCTGGGATTAAGATTGTATTTGGTAAGAGGACTGGTGCATTAGTGCTTTCTTTTGAACTATACAAAGAACAAAGTAAACATCAAAAGCATTAAGCCATGAGAGCGGATTGTTGACTCAATGTTGCTGCATGACAAGAGGTTAGAACTCAATAGCTGTGATTCTGTTTACGAAGTGCTGTGCGGAAAGAAACAGTTTGACCAGTATTGTCTAATATATCCACCACCTGCCTTTGATTTTGCTGCTGGGCAAGTCACTAAATTGAAATTTTTGGATTTTCTCTTATGTGGTCAGCGATTTCCTTAGATAAGAGACACCAATGGAAACCTCAGTCTCATATTACTCTGACTCTGTTTTTCTTCTTCCTCTTTCGTTAATAACTCAACAATTGGGCATGGTGGATATAAGTTCTGCAGTGGATTCATTTGCAGCTTTCATTCCAAGTGATTTCCCACTGCATTTCAGAGACTCCCATTTGCCAAACCTAGAGTACTTGTGCAATCTGCTGTGGCTGTGTACAAATGTCTTGTGCTTCAACTTTCTTGCCCCACAGTTCCTGCACAGAAAACATTTGCTTCATCACTCTTCTTGTGTAGGATGAAAGAGCTCACATTTTCTCTTCCTTGGCCCTAGATGGAACAAAAGGTCACCAGAACTGAATGACTGGAGGTGGCCCTGGAAGAAGTCACAAAAACTAGCACAGACATTGGCAGATACTTTTCATTTCATGTCAACAGAGAAGCTAAAATGGCAGGCAGGAATTGAATGTGGCATCAAACAGCAAGTCACTCTTCTGTCATGGAGATACTCAGGCAGCTCAGAAAGACATCTGCTGTTTGTGTGTTCAATAATGACATCTAAGTTCTCACTTAACTCTTCAAGGTATAAGTAAGCTTCTAATGCATTGCTAGAGAGTCCTGCTCTTGTTTTCCAGAACTTTTTTCACCTCCTTTCCCTGGACTGTTTGGGAAATTTTTGCAGCTAAAGCTTGTAGACCAGAAGAACTTTCTTGTCTTGACCACTGCGTGCCTTTCTGAAGGGAACTGGGGTTTCTCCATGTTATTGCTTGAACATTTAAAAACTTTTCAGAAAGATCAATTCAGAAAGGAAAATCTCTCTCTGATGCATTCTGACTGCATAAAGGGATGACTTCCTCCTTGTCTCAATACAAGCTCTTTAGAGCCCGGTGGGACACACCTGTCAGTCTACTTCAGCTGCCTTTTGGAGTTCACAGTGAAGTCTTGAGCTCAAGGTGAGATATGTAACCTATCAGGAGACACCTAACCTATCATCTCAGATAGTTATGCGATAATGTGATTTCTCATGTCACTGTTCTCCTGAAAAGTACAACTCAGGTGTTTCTACTAATCAGAAATCTTGCATCTCTGGAGATCAGTCTAGTCCTGCTCCTGCCAGAAGAGCTGCCTCTTACACTGATAGCAATCTATTCCCTGTTTCATTTGTCAGCCAAGGGTGATGTCTTGATTATTATTCTCTCAACAGAAGATTGGAGAATATCCAAGCCTTCCTGGTGCCTTATCCGAACATGATATCCAAAGTCCTCTTGAAAGCAATGACGGAGCTTGGCTGGAATCAACAAACCCAATTTTTTGTTTTCCAACCCGGTTGTATCCAAGTCCCTAGATGTAAGATGTTCCCTGTTCTGGTACCAGAAAGGACAAATTATTCAGGTCATCTTCTTGCCTATAAATATTAGAGAGTCCTCCAGCAGAGTTCAAAGTACATGTTGTCGCTGGAAAAAAATCTAGCATATCTGTAAAAGAGCTACTTGTTGCACTTTTCACATATTTACAAGACATGATGGAATTTTTAAACCTGCAAGTAAAGCATTTTGTATTCAGAGAAACAGAAAAAAGATCCTTATATTCTTAATATTACTATATTAAGTATTATAATTATAGTAATATTACAGTATTACTATATGTTTTTCAAGTTGGTACTAGTGTGTCCAGTCAGTCCTTCCTTTGGGGCTGCAGGGGAGGGCATGAGGGGAGTATCCTTCCCCACTGCACCCCACAGTAGGGCTGCTTTCTCCATTCAGGAAAAATTCAGTGAAGGCTTTAGTTCCTGGACTTATTCCTAAAATTGGTAACTGGAAGAATATTTGTTGGGTTGTCAACTCAGAGGAAGGGTGGCAAAATGTGGTACTTGGGCCCAAATTGTTTATAAACTTGTCAGTAAAGGAGAACTTGAACAAGCATTTTAACTAGTTTTACTAACCTTCTTTTTGCATGGGAGACACTTTTTACCATACTTTGCTAATCTCTTAGCTCTAATAATTAATGTTCTAGGCTGAGCTATGAATGGGTAATAAAAAGCAGTTATGTCAAACTGCATGATTCTCCCT